TGTTATTATTGTGTGTTTGAGGGTACGGTTGTCCATTGTGTGTGTGTGTAGGTGGTTGTGTGGGTGTGTGTATGTCCAGTCCATGAGTCCATAGGTGGCATGCCATGGCATGCAGCACAACCTTTCACCACATCCACAGTGATTCTGTGTCAGCTGATGGAGGAATCCAAACTCATTTAAACAGCAGCAACAATGACAAAATCCCACAGAAAGCAATGTAGAAGCCAATGATAATTTAAATAACAACATATTGAAAATATAAAAACTACAAAAATCTGAAACATGGGTGAGTTGAATTTGAGTCTTTGGCACATGCCAGTCTCCAAATGTTTTGACCTTTAAAGTGGAAAATATTAAGCTTGTGTATATAGAGAGGGATTAATATATATAAGACTGTAAGGGCAGAAAATTTTGATTAGCAAAATGGAAAAAATCCCCAGTAAAATTCATGTCCAGAAAAAAGAATCAATAGATTAGAGGTTGTGATTATTTTATTGAGTCTGTGTGGTGTAATATTTTAGAATCGTGGAAAGGAAATTGAGTTGAAATTAGTTAAGGAAAGAAAGTGTGCGGAATATTAGTTCAGTTTGTTCAGTTTGATGATGAATAGACAATGGTGTGGTTATTTTTGTTTATTTAATTGGATTTCTTGACAATGACGACACCACCCATTTCCTTATGCATCACCAAGACCTCATCTGACAACTGCAGACAACATCTGCAATGTTCAGAAATCTTTTGGAAAGATTAAAAGAAGAAAACTGGAGCCTTTTTTTAGGTTCTGGTAACTTTGCTAACTTTCTAGTTTAGGATTTGCTTCTCTGTTCTCTCTTTCTTTCTTGTGTGTCCAGCTGTCAGTAAAACCCAGAAATGCAGAACTTCATTTGCTCAGCATAGAAAATAATCAGTGACGTAAAGTTGCTGAATCTTTGCTTTTGACTTTGGTTTCCTTGTGCGACTGTAACACGACCCCGAGCGTCTCTTCAGTTTGCGTTTAACTCATCGTGGTTGGTTTTATTCTCCCGTCTTTTCTCTCAGGTGAGGTTTCTACATTTATGATGAATTATCTGTTCAGCTACTGATTGATCTGTTTGTCACACTGAAGCGTTCATTGAAAGGGTCTCCTGTTTCCTGTTTGTTTATTATGTTTGTGTGGCCCGTGCATTAACAGAGGAATTTAAATTCAATAACTGATTTTAAAAAACTTTTCTATTTCTGACAAATAATTTTGCACTTGTTGCTATTGCAGCGCTTGTTTCTCTCCTTGATGTCGTCCTCGTTTCTTCCTCTCCTTTCATTCTTCTTTTTCTTTGCTTTCCTTTCCTAATCCATTCTCCTTATCCATGTGCCTAGAGCGATACATGACTTGTTGTAAATGACTTATTGGCCTACAATCTGTGAAAAATATGACTAACATTTTTCCCATGAACGATATTAAGCCATTTTAAGCCAGAAAGAGTACATCTATCACAAGGTAGCAGCAAAGATACTGTTACATTTTGGGTACTTATCCAGGTGAAAACGGTAACTCACATTAAAAATGTCTTTTCAAGAGAGATCTGACCAAACATAAAATCACAGTTCTTTTAAAATAGCTTAAGGAACCAAAGAGGGCTAGATTGATTATGATGTCAGTACAATAATGTGGAGCCATAAAGATACTTGCAAAATATTAATTTCTTCATTTTATATAAAACCCCTTCATAAATCCTCATCACTACAGTCTATCTACCAAAATAAGTTAAGACATTACTAATAAAAAAAATTGTGGGGGGGGGGGGGGGACATCATTGATTTTCCTATTTTCTTTGTTTTTCTCTTCTTTTGCTCCATTATTTGTTTGCTTCTCATCTTTTTCCATCGCTTCTCCTCCCTCTCAGGATTTACCCATCATGCTCCACCATTGTTTCTTCACTATTGGAGCCCTGGTTTCATTGGCAATATCCGGGCTAATCGCTATGGAGACCTGTCCAGCTACAGGGATGCCCGGAATGCCAGGCGAGTGCATTTTTGTGCACATGATTGTTGAGACTGATGTGTTTTTGTTCTCTATTGGTTTTTTGAGTTTCATTATAACTTTCTGACCATCTTCAGGTATTCCTGGGCTTCCTGGAAGAGATGGTCGTGATGGACAAAAAGGAGAGAAAGGAGATCCAGGTATCTAGAACATAGCTGTGTAAAAGCAGGTTATGATAAGGGAAAAATCATTTTGTCACCAATGTATCCTCTACAAAAGGAGAGAACAAACAAAGCGCTGTATTTAGGTCATTCAGCCAGTGCTTCTTAGGCCTCCCACACATATATTGCTGGGTCTTATCACTCACTTAGAAGCCTTCATAACCAAAACGATTCCACTGCAACCATAGATGACCATAGATGGCTCTGGAAGCAATCCCTGTGGCTACTGTTAGCGGCAGAGCTATGAATGCACAGATTCATACATCTGAACATTGGAATTATTGGGACTTGCACGTGATATAATCATCTGCAAAAGTCTGTCTGCTGAAACCAAAATGACTTCTGTTTAAGTGCTGGTCAGACTTACGGCTCCTGGATTAATTCAACTAAATGTCAGATTGTAATCCCTTACGTTACTGATCACTGAGGAAAGTAATTACATTAATGTACTAATGCTTCGAACTTGTTTCTTTAGGAACAAAGTTGCAAGGTGGTCTCGGGCCTCAGAAAGGAGAGAAGGGGGAGCCTGGCCCAAAGGGGCCCCCTGGTAAAAGAGGTCAGATTGGGGAGTCTGGGAAGCCAGGTACCCCAGGAACTGCTGGACCTCCGGGAGAACCAGGAGAACAAGGGTAGGTAAACAGTTCAACAGTTTACTCAGTAAACTGTCAAAGCTGGATTACACCCTGGCCAAATGAGACAACTGCTTGCAACCTAAAGCAGGTTAAATGCTGCTCCAGCTTTAT